ACGGAGCGCACGAGCCGCCCGGCGTGCCGCCCACACGCCTCCGTGGCAACGGCCTCGAGGATCACTCTCGCGGCCTGCCTGGAGACGATGCCCCCGCACCCTCCTTCCACCTCCGCCTCCAAGGTAGAAGGAGCGACCCCTCCCCCGGCCATCCTGAGGATCGGTACACAGCCTTGCTCGACGAGGTCGAGAACGACCCACGCGGCAGGGGCGTCGTCGATGGCGTCTTTGAGGTTGGTATTGTTTGGGGCAGAGGTGAGCGTCGCGGTTAAGGCTAGCAGGATCGCCGCGGCTCCTTCCGAAACGCCCCGGCGCTGGTGGAGGAGCAGCCAGCACAGGGACCGGAGCGATGTCCCGCTTCCCGCGCGGACAAGCTGCTGTTGACGCTCGCGCTTGTGCTTGGTCGTCGTCGAGGCCGCTACCGACGAGTGCCTGGATGTAGCAATGAGCGCGGCGAAGATGAATGTGGAGTGAGAGTGGAGACAGGGGGGAAGCAAGACCAAAGCAGGGAGTGAGAGTGGGAACGAGGTGTCGGGTGAGCACTTCGAAAACAAACGCAAATCTCCGTGATGCTTCTTCTCAGAGGAGCCTTGAGACGATGCTAAGCAGCCCTACGAGGTGAACAAAGGAAATTTCCGTGGACGGAAAGGACGGTCTTGGCTCACTGGTGGCGATCACGCAAGAACAGAGGTAGATTGTAGTGTGGGAATTAACTGGCCTAAGGACGTTCATGAAATAAACGGCAACCACACTGGAATATTCGAATGTGTATGGTCTTCAACAGGCCACGTCTCTACTGCACGTGTGGGAGAGTAAACCGTAGACACTCGAGACAGCCTGCTCCGGCGATCAGAGTTGGTGCCATGCCTTTTGCTCGCATCTTGCTTGCCGGTCTCGTCCGCAGCCCCTCCCTCGCCGCGGCCCACGTACGCCCCCCCCTCCAACCCTTCAATCCCACGCTCCAACATAACCACCCCCAGTTCTTGTTGGAGAGGACAGTGTGCGTCGAGCAGCTCGGGTACTCTCGGGACGGCGCCGAGACACTCTAGCTCCGAAAACACCGCCCCAGTTCTCTCCCCTCCACGCCGACCATGCCGTAGTCTCTGCAGCGCCGTCAGGCGTTCGGCTCGCTCATGGCGTGCGGGGGCACTCAAGATGTCCGCGCCTATCCCATCAACGCCGGAAGGGGGTTGATCACTCACGGGGGTGCTTCCACGGTCAGGTGGCTCCCGAGTAGGGACAATCCCGCTGGATTCTGTCGGATCGATCGTGGCCTCCCCTCGTGCCTGCCTTCCCCTACGCCAGGACAACGAGCGTCTCTTGCCTCGCGCCCGCCGCGGCGTACTTCCCTTGTTTTCTCCGTCGCCTTCCTGCGCAGCACCCGCTGTCGTGGTACCAGCACCTTGCGGGCGCCGTCCAATCCTGCGGCTTCGTCGCTTGGCATGCGGCCGCCCCGGCGGTGGTGGCGGCTGTTCGCCCATCCGCCCCGGGGATGACGATTCCGCTCCCGCCACTGCTGCGGCAGATTCCCCTCCTCCCCCCACTATCCGGCCGGTGGTAGATCGACCAGAGCTTCGCTTGCTTCCACTTGACACCCCCTCTGTGCTGCCTGTCGGTTGCTTCGATGCTCCTCCTCCTCCTCGTCGTCCTAATTTTACCGTTGCCAAACGATGCGCACCTCCCCGAAGGCCTGCGAGGAGGATTAACGCCGCTAACATCGTCAGCGGCTTGTCACGCCGAGTCACGCCTCCCCCGTCGCCTCCCCCGCCGCCGCCGCCCCTGAAAACTGCATCGACCGCAATTGCACGAGGCGACGACGCCGATAGCGCAGGCTGCGCTTCGTGTCCTCCTCCCGTCCTCCGTAGCCCGCCTTCGCTTAGCCGTGGTGGTGGTGATGGCGTCGCCTTCGACTCCTCTGTTGTCGTACCGGGGGGCGGCGGGTTTGCCGCGTCGAGAGTTTCGGAGGCTCGTGCTCCGCGACGGCTGACACCACCTCCACCGTCACGTCCCGCAGCTCGAGCGCCTCTTCGCGGCAGACCCCGTTCTCCCCAAGCCGTCGAATCCGCCGTTGTCGCTGACCCCGATGCTGCCTTGCCGGGGACCAAAGGGGTCTTCGCCGGAGTCCATGCTCCTGTCGTCATTGGCCTTTTGACACCGATACCGCCATGCCCACCGCTACCACCGTTGGAGGCGGAAAAGGAGGCGACCGTAGATGTCGTGGAGTTTCTTTTTGACGGTAATAGGCGCGATCCCGGCGTAGTCGTGCGCGGTCGGCGGTGGTTGCCTTGCCCTTCCCGCGCAGATAAGCCATCGCCGTCTTCGAGTTGTTGGACGGGAGGTGCAGCATAGATCATCAGACCGAACTTTGATCGTTGCTATCGGCGTCATCTTTGTCATCATAATATCTAAGGCCCAATGGAACCGGAAGGGTTGAGGAAAACCGTTGGCGTTTTCCATGCATACGGCATACGTTCACCGTGTGTATGCCATGTTGAACGAGGATTTATTGGAAGGCATACCGATAAGGCCAATCACGTTTGAGAAACCGCATCGAGGTTGAGCCTCTCAGGGTTGCGGTGCCAAGGCAACTGTCCTGTCTACGTCGCGCAAGGCATCATCTTTGGAGCACTGCCATAGACATTGCTTTAGTTGGCACCTTGAGAAGGTCAAACTGTATTGTTGCCGCTAAGCTCGAGGGTTTCGCCTACCCCCTCACCGCTTAGGATGTGTCAAAATTAGGCTAGGAACGTTTCCATTCAAATCTATGCCAAAAGCGCACGGGAGGGAGGTGTTTTGAAGGGACGCCTAGCTAGATGGTGTGCTGAGTATTACAATAGATCATCCGGGGTACCTTACCACCAGAAGCTGGCTCCTCCCCCATTGCCAGGACGAACAAAGGTCGAAGCCCTCTTGCGCTCCGAATGCTCTCGACAGCAGTGGCGTCAGCCTGCTCGCGTATGTGCAAAAAAGCGTTGAGTCAGTGGGTAACTTCTGTGATGTTTGCTGGTCCATGATGTCGCCAAGGTATTATTTCATGGCTTAGTGGTTTCCGAGCCCAACGAAAATCGAAACAGCGTCTTCAAGGCCTAGCGCTGCTGGATGCAACCACGCGGTCGCAGCTGAAAAAGATTGCGTACCACGAAGCCTCAGGACGTATCATAGACACTCCAACCACAGAGAGCACAAAAGCGGTCAACCGAAGTTCCAGAGCTGTTCACAGCCAGTACATCATAGGTCACCTCGCAAGGTGTGGTACCGTTGTGCAGTAATCTCCGGGGCATCACGAGGTTCACCTGGACAATGCTGCAAATGCAGCTCAGGGCGTTCTCGCGTGTCTCGTAGTCGCCGATGGATGCCTCCGCCCCAAGACTCCCCAAAGAAACGGTAGCAGCAGCAACAGCATTAACAGTACCCGATGATGCCGCGACATTGCCATGATCGCCTAGGATCCTCACCTGACCGCCTGGAAAGGCGATCGCTAACAGGGTGGTCACGCGGTGCTCGTTGTGCGCGAACGCCTTAGCGCAATCCTCGCTCTCGTGCAGGCCTAGGGCCAACGCGCGGGATACATGTCGACTGTCTGCGGCACGAGAGACAAGTGTTTCAGAGTGGGCGCTTAATTACCCCCCTTGATTGGCCGATACAATCGTGGTTGTTCTATACGTACACTTCATACCATGCCCCAGAGCGATGGATAGAACCATTGGCTGAGGGAACCTGGATGACCTCGGAATATTCTCAGACACAATCGATCAGCAATACATTGGTTTTATCCGGGACCCCGCCAGGACAATGTGGAATCACACCTTCAATCGAGCCAGGCCAAGATAGCTACGAAGGTGCAGATCGCTTTCAATTTAGCCTCGGGAAGGACTCCCATTGGTTGTTGCCGCACTGCTGCAGCCTAGGGCACGAAACAGGCCGTGCCCCCACGATATCCACATAAACGAGCAGTATCGGTGGGTGAATGTCATCTCCATAACCACCTACATTCTTGATCGTTCCTAGCGTAGTTTTCGGAGAGCAGGTCGAACAGCTGCGACGCCACATCCGCCTCGATGGCGCATCGCCCAAGCCTGGCCAAAAGGCGCAACAAGATGTTCCGGACCTTCGATGAACAAGTACCTTCGGAGAGGACGACGTCAAGAGGAGCGGCGAAGCGCATTGACATAGAGGAAGACGCATCGAAAGCATCCCTCCGATGCAGCAGTTGTCTGTGAGTAACACAACGGCGTACACTGGTCGCGGAGTCATCGATAATCGAAACAGGCTTGGTCGCCGTTGGCGTATGCATATGATCCTGAACGGAGAACATCGTACATGCTGCAGGCTGCTTGCACAAATACAGACTTCCATGACTTGCAACATACCAGCTGATACAACCCATATGAACGGCCGGATTTGCTGCCGTGCTATTGCAATTGGGGACCGAAAGCACCACCCACCTTGTACAACTACATCCAGTGTGGAAGCAAGAGCTTTTTCACCCCAGGAGGCTGCCAACGCGCTACCTTCCTCATCTCCGCCGGCACCGCCTCTTCCTGCCGCAAAGGCGGTTGCGCCGCATTTTGTAGGTGCAGCGCGGAGATCGAGTTTGCATGCGAGCAAGGCTGCCCCCAGCTGGATTCTGTCGGCGTAGACATGATCAGATTCGTTTATGGAACGCCGACGAAGGAGGCCAAGGACACCATCAACGCAGCCTAGCCTTCGCAGCTCCAGTTCAAGGTCAGCTGCAGGAGGCATTGGACAACAGCTCGTGTGAGATTTGCTTTTGTTTTTTTGTCGTCTGTTTTTTTCCATCCCATGGACGCGCGCGTGCGGGGAAACGATCTTCACGCCAACGAAAAAGGGGAAACCCCATTGTATTCCAAAGTCCCAGACCTCTAACCTCTCTCTCGATCAGCTAGCTGTCGTCCGGCTGTGCTGTGTACGCTGAAAACCAGCTGATTTTTCTTGAAGGTGCGCGGGATGTGCGGGAAGAGCAGCACGGAGAGTTGGAGGTTGAGCTGCGTTCGGCTCGACGATGAATCACAGATCACAGCATCAGCAACAGACATCTCACTCCCATTCTCACTCTGCTTGTCCCCTCTCGACTATAGTCAACACCAGACGAAGTACATGCCGCTTGCACGGGCAACAAGCGCAACATCAATAGAGCTCCCAATCATTGCCCCTTTAAGCGAAAACTCCCACCACACGCAGTAAATTGCAGGTGTAATCTAGTGAACTAGTTCGTCACTGCTTGCTACTGCTATTACATCAGTGGTAGCAGCTTCTGCAAATACCATTCACGGCGCACACCACAGTCGAAAAAAGGGGGTGGTGGATTTATTTCGCTGCATTCTGTGGACAACCACAGTGACCACTGGACCGCGAGTCAGCGCAGTCATCGCGCTTTTCAGCAGTAGTACATCCTAGTTGGGCCTTACTTCCAGGACTTTACCTTGTGAGTTCGAGCTTCATCCTGTTTTTTCTCTTTTCTATTGAACCAGGCAATCGATACAACCGCGACTGAATGACTTTTAACTCCTCCTGTACTGGAAAAGAGGCTGTGGGCGTACCATGGCACAGTCCACAGTACGTGGGAATGAATTGTCAGCAGCCATGAATGCACCTAGTTCATCTAACACACCTGGTCGCCCACAGTCACGATGGAATTCGTGATGGCAGCGAAGTATACTGCTGTGGCGTCACACAAAGATGGGCCAGAGCAGTTAGCCATCAATCAACACCATAGTAGTCCCCGGTCAGAGATTGGCAACCCCTAGTCCGTACCATGAGGGCATTCACGGCAAAGAAAATCGAAGACACTTCCATGGTTTAGCTCCCAAAGGAAAAGCAATCGCGCGCACGCCAAAGAGCAAACTTCCATCCTCTATCGTCGCAGTTATCAGTGGCACCCTCTGTGCCTACGAAGGACATGGTGTAATGAGCGGTCGCTTGCCTTCGCCCGGGGCCAGCACCGATCCCCCCCACCTCCACTTTTCAATCAGGTTGGCACGCCTCCAGAGACAAAAACGCGGCAATGCTGCCTTCTCCATGCGCTCGAGCACCTGCCTGTGCGACCCCAACGACGTGTACATACCTCATATCATACACCGTACACCTTCCCGCCGCGGCATACGATACTACATCGGGACTCGGTATACCCAGAGAAAGATTTACTTCTCGTGGGACTTGCCGCTACACGTACACATTCCACCGTTCGCTCATCACAGACCTTCCAGGTGCCATACATAGCTCCGATGCGTTGATCTCTAGGACGTGCCGCTGAACGAACACGGTTCGCCGCTCGCTGACTTGAAGGCACTGCTGTGCGTGGCCCACACGCCAAAAAACGGTTGTAATGTCTAGTACGACATCGGGGCAGTCAGAGCGGCTTCCATCACACGGGTGAGCTCGTCTGCCTGCGTCCTTAGCGCCGACATGTCTCCGGAGATCTCCACGCCCAGACCAGCCGCGAGGGCCTCTAGTTCGTCGAGGAAGTGGGCCGACAGCGTGAAGCTGTCTGGGACAGAGATAGGGTCGACGACGAAGTTGATGGATACCTTGCCGTCCAGGCTCACGACACCCACCTACCAGGAATAGCATGTAGGAAACGCGTGATGGTGGTGGGGGTGATTGTAGCGAGTTCAAAGGTGGAGAGGCGGCGAGTTGCAGGGCGGTGAAAAACACAATACGGAATAGGAGCGACGTCAGCATCATCAACAACAGCAACAGATACAAGAACAACACTGAGCGCGACCCTGGAGGCAGATACACCAACAACTTGAATAACCAAAACAACAACAACAACAACAACAACGACAACAGGGGCACAAACACAAAAGCAATACTGGATCGCCACACAACTCAAACACCAGAGGATACCCCCCCCCCCCGTCTTTGACACCTGTGGCATGATGTTCGAGAACGCGAAATGGATCCTCTTGATCCCGACTCCCGCGAGTCTCACGGGCTCCTGGGGACCAGGGACGTTGGACACCGTCTGAAGGAAACGAAACAGGCAAAACGACGCAAGCAAGCAACAAACATCGACGCAAGGGCGGGTGGGAGTCAAATCCTCTGATGCCTGGTGTTAAGTGTCGGAAACCGCAATGTTGGAACCGCTTAGACTGTGACAAAATATTAACGCTATTTGAAGTGACGGCGGGGGGGCGGCATCACGAAGCCCTTGGAAACGGGGTACAGCGGGAAAAAGGGTGCGGCGGGAAAAGGTGTCATGAGTGAAAGCGATCAGATCTGCAAGGCTTCATTTAATTTCATTTCAAATTGTATTGTAAGACCTGTCGGGGAGGCTTGAAACCACTTGACTTTAATACGGAACAAACATGAAAAGCATTAGATCGGGCCTGTGAGATTTTCGTCGGAAACAGCTCGCGTCAATCATGCATGTCATGGTTCGCGGTGGCTTCAACGCTCCGTTCCACCGTACGGTATACCAAAAGCGAAGCCGGACGACCGCATAATCTCTATCTCTCTATTTCGAAGGGGGGCGAGAGACAGGGGACAGGGGCGACCTCCAACACTACAAAAATGGTTGGTTCACCGCCGTATTTCGTAAACCAGCATGGCCTCTTTAAGGCTAGAGGAAGTCGTTACAGTACTGTAGCTCCCCATCGTCGCCCAGAGGGTCAGCAAGTCGCGATCATATGCCACTATCATTTTGGCACATGGTATTCACATCATTTTCGTTCATGCCATCTACCATTCAGGCACATGCCATTTATCAATAATTAGAAGCATGCCATTCATCATTGGGGCACATGCAATTTATCACTTGCGCAGCAACGCGCAAAGCTTGTGAACAACAAAGAAAAGGGGGGGTTTGTCGGGCGTGAGTGAAAAAAATAACACAAAGGAGGGGGTTCGTACTTGAATTGTCGTACCCAAAATGAGTCCCCTCCCCGCCTACTTCCCGAACTGACAAGGAGAAAAAGGGTTGTACAGTTAGACCCTGGGGCTACCCCCCCGCGGAGCAACAAAAAACGGCATGCTGCGAATAGCTTTTAATGAGTCCCCTCCCCGCCTACTTCCCGAACTGACAAGGAGAAAAAGGGTTGTACAGTTAGACCCTGGGGCTACCCCCCCGCGGAGCAACAAAAAACGGCATGCTGCGAATAGCTTTTAATGAGTCCCCTCCCCGCCTACTTCCCGAACTGACAAGGAGAAAAAGGGTTGTACAGTTAGACCCTGGGGCTACCCCCCCGCGGAGCAACAAAAAACGGCATGCTGCGAATAGCTTTTAATGAGTCCCCTCCCCGCCTACTTCCCGAACTGACAAGGAGAAAAAGGGTTGTACAGTTAGACCCTGGGGCTACCCCCCCGCGGAGCAACAAAAAACGGCATGCTGCGAATAGCTTTTAATGAGTCCCCTCCCCGCCTACTTCCCGAACTGACAAGGAGAAAAAGGGTTGTACAGTTAGACCCTGGGGCTACCCCCCCGCGGAGCAACAAAAAACGGCATGCTGCGAATAGCTTTTAATGAGTCCCCTCCCCGCCTACTTCCCGAACTGACAAGGAGAAAAAGGGTTGTACAGTTAGACCCTGGGGCTACCCCCCCGCGGAGCAACAAAAAACGGCATGCTGCGAATAGCTTTTGTTTTTTTTTTGTTTGAAGGGGGCACACAGACAGCAGTCCTACTTACATGAGCAAAGACAAGGAACTGGCAATCAAAAATGCGCGAAGACGGCGAGGAGATGGTTCTTCTCAATCTACAATCACCTGTAATTATGCTATAGCTAGAGAAGTAGCGAAGCCGATTTCCGTTTGGTGGTTGAAAAATCCCGAAACGACGGAAATTTTGGCTGTTGACGCAGCTGGCGCGAATACCGAGACGAGGATCAAAAATCGCCTTCGCTACTTCTCTAGCTCTGGTTTCTGCGCACACAGCTAAAAAAAACGATCCCCGATTGACCTAGAAGCCGACGAGTGGCATTGACTACCAGATCACCTCCTATGGCTAAGGTCGGTGGAAAAAACAAGGGTCGAGTCCAAAAAAAAAACTTCAAAAACTTCACGACTTCTCTTCTCGAGAGAGAAGGATGCACGTTTGCGGACGCAGCGACGGCTGGGCGCGCACGCAAGGCTGCCGAGAAGGCCGACTACCCTACCCTGAAGCGTACGGCCGCTGCTACCCTCGAGAAACTCAAAAAAGCTCAGTTGGCGAAGCGTAGAGAGGCTCGAGTCCGCAAATCGGCGGAGCAGGCCGCAGAGGAGGAGCGACAACTGTTGGCGCGAGAGCGAGTCCTGCGCGCCGATCTGAAGAAGGAGCTTGGGGAAGATCAGCGACGTAGAATCGAGGCGGAGCAACGGGCGCAAGCAGCGATCGCACGCGAGCAGGCCTCGGAGCATCAGAGGCGCAACAGAGGGCTGCTGATGGAGAGGCGGTGGCGAACGTCCTGACCCAGCTGGGAAACTTGCGGTTGGAGAAAAAAAATGCTTCAAGATCAACAGCGCGAGATGGTTGAGATTTTTTGTCCACAAGCGGCAAGCGTGATGGCGGTGCAGCAACAGCAGCACAACCGGAATCCGCTGCTTTCCGCGAAAGACCAGCTCATCCGCACCCGGATGGAGGTAGAGCAAGCGAGGAGGGAGCTGGAGGCGGCGTCGGCGTGGGGAAAGGTTGCCGAGACGAGAAATAAATGCCAATTTGAAGAAAAAAGTGCGTGCGTGAGTGTGTGTGTCTTTGCCCTCGTGTGTTTTTGGCTTTGCTGCTCCCTTCTAGTGCGACTACTTCGTATGCCTCCGAGTCCTACAGGTTGATAGAACCAACATAAGCAGGACGATAGCAAGAGAGGTAGGCGAAGATGCATGCAGCTGCTATCATCGACAGACTTGGTGTTGAGAGCGAGAAAATACAGCAGGAGCAGCAGCAGCGCGCATTTTTTTTGTTTTCCCGCTCTCGCAACCGCCCTGCTGTTTGCCCATTGCCCTTTTTCTTTTTTTCGGCAACAGAACGGGCGGGTCCGCCGTCGAAGCGGGCGGGTCCGCCGTCGAACCGGTGGAGTCCGCCATCTATGACCGGTCGGGCTGTGGGGTACTGGCTTTTTGTGTGTGCCAGCAGCCTCAGTGAGCGCAGTGACGGGTGTCCACCTCGCGCATTGCTGCGTGAACGCGCTTGACCATATTTGTCCAGTTTGTTCGTGTGTGTTCGTGTGTCTTTTTATTTTGATTCAAATTCCGAACGTTTTTATTGGTCCAAGAAGGAAAAGCGCGGTCTATTTACCACGAAAAGTTCACCCGGTTTGGGACACATTTTTGGCCTCAAAATAGGGGTAACCCCAGGGTCTAACAGTGGACAACTTCGTTTCACACCCGAACGGCAAAAGAGGAAACGATGCCTGTCGTTCAGCAGTAGGGGAGAATTTGGAGCTAAAATAGGTGGTCAAGAGAAACGGGTTGAGTATTTCAAGCGATCGCTTATGGGGAGCAACAAAAATGCCGACCAAGAGGGTGTAAACTAGCAACCAAGCAACCATTTAATATGACCCAAGCATTTGAATGTTGGACAGCATTCAAGAGAGGGGTTCAGTCGATCGGTCCAACTTTCACAAACAACGACAATACGGTCTATTGCACGATCGCCGAGTCACTACCAGGATCCGGAACGCTTTCGGCGTCTCGTCTCGCACAAGGGCCGAGCGAGGCCAACCAATTCCGCGACGACCGCCATGGATCGCCGCAAGCCGACCACACCCTACCTGCCCCCATGGCCCCATGACCCCCACCCTCCAAGCCGTGTGCAGCGGTCTGTCTGTCTACACGGGGCACGCTCTCCACCCTCAAGGCACGCGTCAGCCGCCAGCTTGCCTTCCTTTCGTCCCCTACACTCACCACCGTGTGTGTCGCCAGAGCGCCGTGCACCATCTCCCTGCACAGCCACAGAGGCAGGTGCGGCATGATGTGGGTTTGCATGAGGTACTGAAGGCCTGGCGTCGGGCTGGTCTTGATCGCCGTCGTGGTGGCCTTGAGCTCTTGCAAGCGAGTCGCGGCGTCTGCCTCGTCCATCGACAGGTTCATCGACACAAACGCCTGCCAAGGGGGGGGGGGGGGGGGGGGGGGGGGGGGGG